GTGATCGTTGATGGTCATGGTGATGGGGATGTCGAAATTTGGGCCGCCGTTCGTCTTGAAGGACTTCTCGTCTCTAGGTCGAAGTGTCGGCGTCCGCTCAGCTTTATGCATCATGAGTGCATGAACTCACTCTTGCCATCCATGTTGGCAATGGCGTTCTCGGCATCAGCATCGTTGGTGTCACAAACGAAGCCCAAGCTCCTCCCTGAGCATGCCGTCGAGCCAAGAGAGGAGCTTCTTGGCGCAGTGGTCGGTGTTGACTGGGACCATGTTAGTATCTTGTGTGCGAGTTAAGGCGACGGTTACAGGCTACCTACGAGCAACGGGGACGCCGTAGATGGGGGCAATGGAGCGGATGTAGTGAGCAGCGGCGATGACACCGGTGACGGAAGCCTCGCGCTTCTCAGCAAACTGTCGTCATCTTCTTGCTCAACCGCGCCCGCGCGAGCGGAAGCATGAGCACCCGGTTGGTGTTGCTCACGGGGGGACACGGCGACCGAGCGGGTCCAACTTTGACGGAATAGTCAGTGATGAGCTGCTTCTGGGATGGGAGTGCATCATCTTGATGGCATACTGAGTTCAAGGGACGTATGGTGATGGAGGCGGTTGTGACATGGGGAGAAGAAGTACGAACCTTTCTGAGCATGAAGCAATGAAGCAACGCTCATTTGCTTTCCTGTCACTGTTGTCTAGTTCGTGGAAAGAGTCTGGGGTTCTCTGCGAATTTTGCGAAAGGTCGAAGTCAGGCGGAGGGTGAGAATCTGGCACGGCGGGGTAAAATCCAAAAGAACCACCTGCTGTGTCCCCTCTGAAACGATCAAGTGGTCACGAGCAGAGGCTAGACTCTCAACACCAAGCTCCTTTGCCCAATCGTGTCAATCTCAGGCACCCGTGACCTCGCATACCTGCGGTCTGCCGAGATTCGGACACTCATAGCCAACCACAAGCCTGGTGCGGCTCAACAAAACGGGGAGACAGAACCTCAACGAACCCTCACCTGGCACTCAACCAGGCAACTACCACCAGCCGCTACATGAGAGTGCGTGTACGTACCTCAAGCTCCCGTCCTCCTTCCTTCTTTCCATCCCGTTTCCGTGCCCTTCTACCCCTCCTCATCTCTGAAATCTCTGATCTTCCGCCCCTCCATCCTGTCTCCCATCAACTCATCGAGCCATCGTACGGTACAGCTCCTTCTTTCTGTTTTTCAAGTGCCTTCTCCTCTGCTCCCTTAGGCCCCGAAACCTTCAATCTCTCCGCCTTGCCGTCCCTCCTCAATCCCCGCTCGGTTCCATGTCGTCCACCCCCGCACACACATCGGTCCTGGGTTCTCCTTCCATATGCCATCTCTGTGGGTTGCGGGCGGAGGCATTCCTCTTAGGTTTTTTTTAAATTTGTTTTAAATTTGTTAAATTTTTTTTAATTTGATGGTGCCGGTCAAAGGCTGGATGGATGCTTGTGACAATCGGCCTTGTTGGAAGGATGAAAGCTTTCATGGACACCGAGTCTCTGATAGTTGATTTATGCGTTTCTACTACATCAAGATACTCGTAGAAAGACATGTTGGTCATGATTCCAGTTGTGGGTGTACGGATTCGTCTGCTGAAGGTCTTGCCCGCGATGTGCAATGATGTTGTCATGAATGGTATCGGCCATGCCATATTGCGATTCCGGCTTCCGCATCTCCTGTTCCTGTACCACCAGGTCCTCCAGTCTGTATTTTGGCTGTCAACTTTCCCACCTCGCTAGTGTCCGTGACCCCGGAACTGAGTGTCGCGGCTCAAGAGGCGGATGGTCAGGCTCTATTTTTCAAAGTGTTCGGGAGCAAGACTTGGGGATGATCGAAGAAAATATCATAAAAGATCACAGGTCTGTGTGTTGCCAGAAACGAAAGAAACGCGAGTGATCTATGGAACTTAGACGTTCTCGACAAGCAGGCCGTTACCCTCTATGTACATCCGTCGACGTGCGTCATGTATTCATCGAAGCAGACAACCGTCCTTGCAGCTGGCAGGCCGCATACATCAGGACATGCATTGAACTACACCTCAGCAGCAGCACCAACAACATCACACAGTCTTCAGAAGGCGAGACAATTGCGATTGTCAATGACAGAAGGTTTGTTGGCCTACACTAGCGAGACAATCCTACAACAATCTTTGCAATGGAATGCTTGATCACATGTTTCAGACGCAGATCAGAAGACAAGACCTTGGTCATCGCCGTTCCATGTTTGAACCGACGCTTATGCTCCTTCTCGAGCTTCTCCGCCTCCTCTCTCTCGTGCTTCTCCTCCTCCTCCATGGCTACAAGCCAGTGCCCGTCCCCCCTCTATAGAGGCTCGATCGAGGTTGAGAGGCGCTTGTTGCCTCGGAAGAGGCTTGCCACGGCGGCTCTCAGGAGCCCTTGTCGTATCTGGTAACACAAAGCGTGATCAGTCTCTTGTGTTGCAATGCGGCAATAGGAGATGGAACCAAATGATGGCTAGCGGCCAAACATTTGCTTGGGACAAGATGGAATGGGATCAAACGTACGCTTCGGCTTGCTGGCCTTTTTTTGCGCCGTTGAGGCACCTCTTGGCTGGGATACCCGAAGCGAAGTTTGAGCGGGAAGGAGGCAAGCGCCCTTGACGGCGCGTGGAATGCGACGAGCGGCGGGCTGAACGCACCAGTAGCAAGCTGCGCCCTGGGAAGGGGGTCTGGAATCAGGAGTCAGTTGTTGAACTACAAAGCAATTCGAGATGCGCGACACGAGGGGAAATGGCGGCACGGGATGAAGACGAGAACACTGCATGCGGCACTGCAGGCGTCCGGGGGTGACTATGCGGAAAGGGAAATGGCACAAACATGAAGGAAGAATGCCGAGCAAGGCTCTTGTCGAGCGCCGTGGCTGCTCCTCTTGTTGTTGTTGTGATGGTTGTGGTTGATGCACCTGGTGATGGCGGTGGTGTTTTTGTTGGTTGGAAATGATGAGGGATGGTGAGAGATGGAGATGAAGATGGGAGAGAAGAATAACAAGAGAACAGGACGCGGGGTGACGGAGGGTTAAGTAGCCCTCAGAACTCGTCCCGGTCCGGTATACTCACATGGTGGCTACCTGATTCCAATGACCCACCAAATCCAGCCTT